TGTAATCCCGGCACTGAGGAGGCTGAGGCAGGAGAATCACTGAGAGTTTGAGAACAGCCTGGCCTACACAGTCAGATTAGTCCAGCGAGAACTACATAGTAAGACCCTGCCTCAGATCTGGCCATAAGCCCCCCCGCAACCCCCAGTTAAAAAATGCTGCTGGCCTTTGCTCCTGCCCATCAGGATCAGCCGGAGCTCCAAACCCAGAGGGGAGCAACAGCACCAGCACCTGTGAGGGTCTCCCTGCAGCTGTGAGGTGAAAGAGGACCATGCTTTGGGGCCTTCCCTGGCCTTCTCCACCCCAAGCCACCTTCACTTTAAACCCCACTGTCCCTACCCACAGTGCCCAGCATTAAGGGCTCTGTGTCCCCTTGCCCAACGCTGCTGTCCACCGTGCCCTCCAGCCCCTCACTCCAGTTCACTCCCCAGGTGCTGGTCATGGCCAGCCTGGGCCTGCCTTCCTCCGTGGCCCTCCTCGGCCCCTCTCCCTTGCTGCTCCCAACTGGCTGGGGACCCGGATGCCAGGCTCTGATCTCACCCACGATGCATCTCTCAGCCCAGAGCTCCTGGGCGCACACCAGGGCCTTGGGTCACCCCCACCGGGCCCAGAGTCCTCCTCTGCACCCCTCCCTGACCACACTCCAGACAGGAATGAGTCACTTCCTGAGAGCCATCCTGGAGCCCTGCGGTCTTAGACACAGGCCGAGCAGGCGGAGCTAGCCTGCCTGCCTCACCACATACTGAAGGCTTTCTCCAAGATTTTCAATTCTCCCTCCCGCCAGACTCACCGGAGACCTTTCAGGCCTTGTCAGAGGTGAGGTGGCAACATCCTGCAGGCTGGCAACTCTGAGCTTTCCTTATCCTCCTCATCCATCCCGGAGGTGAGGCCCTGGCCCCCGGGACTCTCAGGGCTTCCTAGAACGCTGGTTGTAGTGAACATGTAAAACATAGGACTTTGTGACCCCACAAAAAGCAGAATTAAGCAAAGTAAAACTAGAGTGAAATTGAGTGAAGCTTGACAGCTAACAGCTTGACAGCTTGACAGCTGACAGCTTGACAGCTGAGTGTTAGGACAGATAAGAGTTTGCTGTGACGTTTGTGGAATTCCCCCCGACCATCTGCTGTGACACGTGATTGCTGTGACATACGATTAAGAGTTTGAAGTGAGGTAATGGAGAGTGTTGAGGAGTTAACTTAGATAGAACATATGGATGTATTAGATTAGAGATGATTTAAGGTATAAAAGGAGAAGACTACAGACAGATGACGTCGCTTGACGACCCCATCAAGATGACCTGCTGAAGCTCTGCCCGAGACGCAGACACTCTGTTCCAGATCCTGATTGCTGAGCCGAGGATCCTGGTTTCCGAGACGAGAGAACGAAACCAACCCGAGACCGTCATTGACATCGAAGTCGCGGCTCGACCCTGCGAAGCCGAGGACCAGACTACACTCACCAGGTCGTATGCCCCCACCTACAGCATGCTAGGACTTATGATTTGCCTAGAGATATTATGGGCTGGCATTATTTCTATATTGCGCTGGCAATTGTAGTTGTATCCTTTGTGTGGGCTTGTTTCTGTATTGTTAATGAGAGTAAAAGCATTTATGAAAACGAAACCGAATTGACAATCATTGATGCGCTGACCCGTGATCCCGAATCGCAAATCGGTGCTCGCGACACTGGTTTAGGAGAGAAGTCTTGTCATTCTGGTTCTTTCTCTGGCCTTGTGGTCCTGAACACCAGAGGTCCCTGTGTCCAGGAATCTGGACACCAGACTGGCAGCCAGGAGCAGGGGGAGCTGGAGCTGGAGGGGTGAAGAGCTTCTTCCTCAGCCTCCTGATCAGGGTGCCCTGTGGGGACACCAGTCAGCAGGTGGTCCTGGCAAGATCTTTCTCCCCACAGCAGTCTTCCCGGTACCCCCTGCAGCCAGCAGGAGCTGCCACCCCCAGCTCCCTGGGAGCCGTGGGTCTCAGGAAAACCCACCCCATCTGCCACCCAATTCCACCACCCTGTTCTGCTGCTAAGCCCCAGGACCCATGGGCATCTCAGTGCTGTAAGGTAAGCGCTGGCCCCAGAGACCCCAGGCAACCAAATCGGGAGGACTCCAAGGAGCCCAGGGACAGAGATGTGGAACTCAGTCTCCTTTAGGGAAGAAGCAAGCTTTGGCGATCAGTGCAACTCCTGAGTTCCTCACCTCTGGATGAACAGAGGGTCCGTGGGTCTGGGAAATCAGTTACCCGCCCACGTGGGTGGTCAGAGGGCAGACGTCACAAAGGCCAGACACTTGGACCAGTTATTTCCTGTTGCGATCACTCTACCTGTGATGATGACCTCAAAGGTCTGTACAGTAAGACCCTAAATGGGCCGCGTGGCTTCTGCAACATGCTGGAAACCAAAACTCTGAAAAAGACACATTTCTAACTAAATCTTCTGAAAAGTCAAAGATATAGGAAGTGCAGGTTTGAGATTCCCTGCTGCGAATTAGCACCGGCTCCCCATGAGACTTCCAGGTCACCAGCTCCCGCTGTGTGCCAGGCGGCTGCCCTGCAGGACACTCCCTGCCTGCCATGGTCACAGCAACATTCCCAGGTGTCTCCCAACCCATTTAAAGGGGTCCGAAAAACGACCTGCAGATCTGATACAATCCCCATCAAAACACCAATGATAGACACTCTTCACTGATGGGGAAAAAACAATCCCGAAAGTCTTGTAAAAGCACGTAAGACCCAGAACAGCCAAAGCAGCCCTGAGTGAGAAGAGCTGAGCTGGTGAAATCACAATACCCAACTCCCACACGTGTCTCAGCCATGTGAGGGATGCAGCGTGGCACCGACGTGGGACGGAGGGCACAGAAACAAACCCCGGATCCAAGACCAGCTGGTTCTGGATGAAGGAGCCAAAGCACACGTGGGAGAAAGGACAGCCTCTTCATCAAGTGCTGCGGGGGAAACTCCACACATATGAGGCTGAAGCCAGACCCACGCCCCTCACCCTGCGCACAAATCACTTCAAAGTGGATTAAAAGATGCGAACGTAAGCTCTGAAACTCTGGAACTGCTAGAAGAAAAGAGAAAGTCCTAGGCACAGGCAATGACTTCCTGAATAGGACTCCAGAGGCCAGAAAATAATATTGAGAATCAACAGAGGGTCGGGCTCAAAATAAAGAGCTTCCACCCAGCAGAGGAAATAATCAGCAGAGTGAAGACACAGCGACACAGTGAGGAAAACCTTTGCCGGCCACTCTTCTCACAGATGAACGTCCAACACACAGAAGAGCAGGGACGTAGCTCAGTGGTGCCACCACCTGCCTCGCAAGCACAAGGTCCCGAGTTCGATTCCCAGAATCAAAAAATAAATAAAAATAAAAAACCAAGACACATAACAAACGAAAAAACAAAAAAGCCCTCCAAAAGACCTCAGATTATGCAATTAATAAACATGCAAACGAACTGAACAGACACTTCTCAAGATAAGAAGTGAAAAAAATGTTCAACATTTTAAGCATTAGGGAAATGCAAGTCACAACTGCATTGAGTGCTGGGTGTGGTGGCACATACCCAGGATCCCAGCACTCTGGGAGGCTGAGGCAGGAGGGTTTCAAGTTTGAACCCAGGTTGGGCAATTTAACAAGCAAAAATGGGGAAGGGGTGTGCAGCTCAATAAGAAGGCCCCTGGGTTCAATCTCCAGCACTGCAAACAAAACAAACCAAACATGTGAGGAGGGGAAGGGGTGGGGGACCCTTCCGTACAGGAGCATGAACCAGTGCAGCCGTTGTGGACACAGAACTAGAACCACAGCGTCCACCGGACCCAGCTGTACTGAAGGAAGGGAAGGCAGCGCCCTATGGAGGCGCAAATACCCGCCATGACGGCAAGGCTCACAGTGACCGAGACGCACAGCACAGCACATGCAGGGACCATTCGGCCAGCCCGACGGGGGACACAGGAAAGCCGGGTCATTTGCGGGAAAATGGAGAGAACCACAGGTCACCGCGTTAAGTGAAGCACGCTGGGCACAGAAAGCCAAATGATCGCACGTTTTCTGTCTTGTGTGGGAGAGGAGAGGAGAGGAGCGAGGGGTGACTGCGGCCAGATGAGGACCGACATTTCCTGCCTGTCTGAGCGGCCAGAGTGCAGCCGGCCAATCCCGCCACCACCGTCTGGGCTTTCTCGAGCGAGTTGAGATCTCCCTCAGGCAGGCGCGGGCGAGCTACTCCAGCAGGGACTGCTGCGGTCAGTGTCCCTCCCAGGCCTGCTCTGCACCCACAGAAAGCTCTCTGTGTTGCTATTTCAGCCTCGCTTCTGATCTCTGGCCTCACAGACTTGTGATGCTGCAGTGGCCGTTCCTGCCGGGGGTCCCCCCTTCGCACCCCAGCGGTGACAGCTGGTCTAAGAAGTGACTCCAGGGCACCCGCTGTCCCTAGACTGGCAGCCATGGTGACCAGTTCCCTGGAATCTTGCCCCAGAGCCACCTGTAGATCAGCAGGAAATGGAGAGACGCTGTCCCTACTCGCACAGTCCCCAGCAGGGTCACACTGCACCTCCCCGGGGGAAAAGCTCAGCAAAGAAATGTGTCAGGTTTGACACAAGCCCTGTGTGCACCACTGGGTTAACCTCTCAGTACCCCGCTCAGCGGAGGCCCAGGCCCAGGGCCCTGGGGATCTGGGCCACTTGTTGGAGGACAGCTCACTGGGAGAGGAAGGGGCAGAACTTGAACCCAGGTCCTGGCCCTGTGAGGCTCGCATATCTACTCCTTCAGCTGCTGGGGGCGGGTAGAGGGGTCTGCTGCCTCTCAGAGTAGCCAGGCTGCGTTGAAAAGGGGGTGATGCGTCCGTCCCTCGACACCTGGTTCATTCCCCTCACAAACATTCCGTCAGGTCCTGGGTGCCCATCTATGGTGAAGCTTCGGCTGGGTTAAGAGGCAGGGCAGGCCCATCATTCATGACTCACCCAACAAACTCGCAGCAGTCCATTATGCATGCACAGCCCCAGGGAGGGGAGGTCCCGCTGTGACTCAGGGTGACTCCCACACAAGCACAGGTGGACACAGCAGTGAGGCTCCAAGGTGGCCAGGGCAGGGGAAGAAACAGAAAAGGCCAGCTCTGTGCCCAGCCCGCCCCACCCTCTGTGTCAACAAAGCGGGCCTCATAAAGCCTTCAGGTGGCTGGGCCGGGCTCATTTCCTCCTCAGCCCTGACAGCCCCACCACCATGACAGAGCTGGAGAGGGGCATAGGCCTGATGGTCCAGGTCTTCAGCCGGTATTCAACCAGCGAGGGCAACAAGCAGACCCTGACCAAGAGCGAGCTGAAAACGCTGATGGAGAAAGAGCTCCCGGGCTTCCTGCAGGTGAGGCCCGTGGTCTTGCGGGGCACAGAAGCTTTGCAAGGATCGGATCTGGGGCCCCACAGGGGAATGTGGAGCACCCAAGCAGGGAGGGGCCCCGGGTGGCTTCCCTGAAGGGCCTGGTGGGCGTGTGGGCTTCAAACCAGAGCTGGGTGTCCAGGGATTAGTGGGGGCGGCAAGAACAGGACAGGGGGACTCAGGGAGGCCCCGTGTGCCCAGAGTCGTGGTCTCCCTGGGGACCTCCTCGGAGACAGAGGAGAGTCACAGCCTGGCGCGCACAGAAGGTCTGGGCCTAGGGCCAGCCTGTTCACCCAGCAGCCCTGGCAGGTCTGAACAGAGCCCCTTCCAGTCCCTCACCTCCTCCCCACCCTCTCCTCTGCCACCTTCTGCCCTCCTCCATCACTGCCTCCTGTGCTTTGAGGGCCCTGAGCTTCTGCCCACAGCTGAAAACATAGGTCCGCAGGGTTCAGCCCTTCAAGGGTCCTCAGCGCCTCCAAATGTTAGGGCTCTGGCTCCCAAACATGAATTCAGTGAAGACACTTTTGTTTTTCTTTTGAGACGAGGTCTCACTATGTAGCCCAGTCTGTCCTTGAACTCATGGGTGATCCTCCTGCCTCAGTCTCCTGACTGCTAGGATTTGTTTTGTTTTGTTTTGTTTTGCTTTTTGAGACAGGGTCTCACTATGTACTTGAGGCTGACCTGGAACTCACTATGTAGCCCAGGCTGGTCTCGAACTCACAGCGATCCTCCTGCCTCAGCCTCCCGAGTGCTGGGATTACAGGCGTGCACCACCACGCCCAGCCACAATTGGCTGTTTCAGATTTTTTTTCAGATTTACTATTACAGCATAAATTCACACACCCGTCCTGACACACCTGTCCAGGCTGGGAACTTGTGCATTGGGTGTGGGTGTCTTTGATGAGCATCTAATTTGAGGATTTAACGTTTTGGGATATCGATCCCAAAACACGGGGTTCCAAAACAGTGGTTCTGCCGCCTGCTTTGCAAGGGCGAGGACCTGAGTTCGATCCCTGGTTCAAAAAAAACAAAACAACAAAAAACACTGGGGTCAGGGGCAGTGATGCAGATGTTGAGGGGGGTAAAACAAGGTCTCACTATGTAGCCCAGGTGGCCCTCAAACTCCTGGCACTGCTCCTGCCCCAGCCTCCTCAGTGCTGGGATCACAGTCGTGAATCGCCACGCCCAGCTACTGACGAGCAGCTCTGCGGACCAGCGCCTGAGCCAAGGATTCTCCACTCTGGTTCCCTCACAATCACCGGGGTTGCGGGAGCCGGGGAAGCAGAAGGCGTGGGCTGGTCCTCCCTCCCTCCTCAGTCCTGACGGCTGGCCTCGAGGGCCGGCTTCCTCCTGGTTCGCTGAGCGCTGCCTAAGCACCGGCTGCTGCACAGCGCAGGTCCGTGACCGTGACCGTTACCCTCGCTCTAGCTGGGCAGCGCGGCCTGGCGCGCCGGCGTCCGCTTCCTTCTGCGCTTGCGCTTGCGTGGCAGCTTGCGTCACCCCCCACCCAGACG